TTTAATAATAGGAAAAGTACCATATTAAAAATATATATGATTTGTTTATCTATAAAAAGTTTAAATTTTAGGATTGTCTTATATGTTAAAATTATATCCTTAACTTATAATTTAACAAACTTTATTGAATTAAAGATGTTGATTTAAACTCTAAAAAAATAAATAGAATCTAATTCAGATTTCAGATCTATAATATTAGATCCAAATTTTATAGAAATATGAGTAGAAGAAGTAATTGTGTTGGTTAATAGCTGAGATTTGGCTTAATTAATAACAATACAGATAATAAAATAGAATTTATCAGCTATTTCTAGAATATCTTCTAGGTTCTTCTTTGAGTAAGTAATTTAATTTGAATTATTCATATAGACTAAGAAAAAAACTTGTACTGCTAATGTTAAGGATGACATAAATTTAATATCTGTAATCCAGGAATAGTTAAATTTGTATTCTTTATCTAAACTATCTATTTCACATAAGAAAGAATCAAAGTATATATACTAAAATAAAGAAAAGATAACCTTTTCTTGATCAATGTTAATTTTAACTAAAGCTCTGAATAGTTCAGTTCAGTCTAAATTAGAAATCAATCTGAATTTGAACTGAAAATTTCAGTTTAGTTCATTTCAGATTATTAATATTAAAAATGCTAATCTGAATCTGAACTGAATCGCAAACTAGTAAAAATCTGAACTGAATTAGAATTTTTGGATTAATCTAAAGAAATTCACAATTTTTTGTAATTATCCTAGAATTTCACATAAATTATGAATTCTTTTCAAAATTTGCATATAATCAAATTGTAATTTTTTTCAAGATTCGCAAAAAATTGTGAAATTCAATTAGTAATCACAAAAAATTACGATTTTTCAAGAATTTCACGATATTTTGTGAAATTTGAAGAAAAATCACAATTTTGTGGCTCTTTAAGAGTATCATAAAATTTTAAGAGAAATCGGGATTCTTCAAGATTTTTGTGATATTTTTACAAAATTATAAGAGAAATCGTAATTTTTGCGATTTTCCAAGAGTTTGTAATATTTTACAATTTTTTAATAGTTTTACTAAATTTTTGCAATCTTTTTAGAGAATTTACAAATTTTTACGATTCTTCAAGAATTTCACAATATTTTTGCAAAATTCAAAGAAAAATCAATTTTTTGCAACATTTTAAGAGTTTTATAATATTTTTGCGAAATTTGAAAAGAAATCACAAATTTTGTGATTCTTCAAGAGTTTTGCATATAATTGAACTGAACTTTTAGATTAATCTGAAATTATCAGTTCAGTTCAGATTTTTTTTTAGTTTAGATTAGAATTATAATCTAAAAAAAATCTGAACTAAACTGAAAATTTTCAGATTGATTTTTATACAATCTGAACTGATTTGAACTGAACTGTTCTGAAAAATCTTCAGATTAATCTAAACCATTTGAAACTTTAATTTTAACATCATAATAATTAGAAAGACTATCTTTATAAATGCAACATTTTTCCTATTAGTAAATAGATTGATTAAATATGACATATATTTTTTTAAAACTTAATTCTTTTAAGAACAAGCTTAATAATATTTATATTAATTATATTATAAGCCTTTGAAAGGTCTTGTAAAAGAATCCAGAAATCTTTTTTGTTGTCATTTACATTTTTTATAATCATATTCATTATCTTGATTAAATTCTTAATAGAGTTTCCAGACAATCCTACATAATTATTACCTTTAAGAATATTATATTTAGCTAAAGTTTTAATAAATGACTTGTGATGATTTTAACAAAAGCTTTTCTTATAATTTTTAATAAAGTAATAGGACAGATTTTAAAAATATCACATTCTTAACCTACAGGTTTGAGAATTAGATAAATGTGTATATATTTCCATTCTGATAAAATATTACTAAGTGTAAAATATATTTTAATTAAATGTCAAAATAAGTTTTGTAAATTTAGTTTAAATGTTTTATAAATTTATTATGTATTTCTAATGGTTTAATTATTTTATTATTTAGAAGTTAGAAGATAACAAATAACTATTAATCTATAGTAGGAGATTATATCAAGTTATCATACTAAGATTTCTTTATATTTTCTATAGAATGATATTGATTAATCTATTAGCCAAAGAGAGGAATAATAGGAAAATCAAGTATCGCATAATTTTAAAAATGAATATTCACATAATGTTTGATTAATGTAGGATCATTAATTAAGGTTTATTGGTCATTTCTTCTTTTAATTATGAGGTGATCCAAGACTAGAGTCTTAGATGAATTAAATTAACTTACAAGTCAGATAATTCAAATCAAGTTTAAATCAAGTTGAGTTTATATTTTTTGATTTGATGATTTGTGAGTTTAAATCAAGTTTAAGTTGAATTAAATATTTAACTTAACTTAATTTAAACTTGACTTAAACTTGACTTGACTCAAGTTAACTTGAAATAATATTATTAATAAATTAACATTTTAAACTATAAAATTATATATTATAAAAATTAAAATACTTTATAATAGTTGAAAATTCAAATTTATTTTATTAATTTAAATCAATAATGGATTTGGAATATAATTTTAGATTTTAAAAGTTTTGGACAAGGTTTTGAATATAGAAAAAAGTGTTTAAAACTATTCAAAATATGTTTAAAACTATTTAAAACTGTTCAAAATTATCTAATTGCCTAACACTGATTTAAATTATTAATTTTAAATTTCGTTATAAAATAATTTCTTAAATAATAAACTATCAAAAATCTATTTTTAGAACATTTAATTAAAATATTCTAAAAGAACAAATTTTAATAAAATGATATAATTGCATTTAACCTCTATTACAATATCTATTTTACTCAAAATTAAATTTTCACCTTCAAGATCCCAAAAATAATTATTATATTTACAATTATTGTTATTTTTATAAGATCAGTAACGATTTGTCTTATTAAATTTAATTTATCATTTTCTTCTAATATACTTAAATTTATGATAAAACTATTAAAAAATGATAAATTAGTTTTAATATCTGAAAAATTTATATTAAAATTATCATATAATTTAGAAAAATTAATTTTAATTAAATTTTTAATTAAATATTTTAAATCTATAATCAATGGAAATAATATATTGTTTAAATGAAGATAAGATTCAAATATTTTTTCAGATTTTAATATTTCTCAAAATGTTTTTTTTAACATCTATCATCATATTAAATTTTATATTATTTTTAAAATAATTATATAGATCATTACTTTTCTTTTAATTTATTTAAAATTAAAGAATATAATTATATATAAATTTAGCTATATGATAATTTTTTTTTCAATAATAGGTAACATATAATTATTATGTTCTCTTATTATTGTGTAACTTTCATATATTGTATATGTATAATGTGAATTTTCATCATTAGAAAATAAATCTTTAATTATATTTTTAAAATTATTTGTAATATAATTAATTCAGTATTAAGTTTTTTAAATATTTAATTTCTTTTATCTGAAAAGAAACTTTTTTATCAAAAAAGTTTTTGATAATTAAACTTATATATAATTTATTATCTATAAATTGATAAATAAAACTATTTTTTATGTTATTATTTATCTTAAAATAATTATTGATAGGATATTTTTTAATATTATTATTATATTTTGAAAATAAATTTTGTAATCCTTTTTATATTATTTTCTACGTTTAAAAGAATTACAAAACCAATATCTAATTTTTTAATTTTTTGTTCATATTTTTTTTATTGTTTTTTGATCACTTTTATCTGTAATAACAGATGTAAAGGTAGAAATAGATGCAAAGGTAAAAGTAAAGTTTGAGGTTAAAGTAGATATAGAGGTATAGGTAAAGGCAGAGGCAAATGCAGAAGTAGAGGTAGAGACAAAAATAGAAGTAAAAAGCTCACTTAAATTATCATTATTACACGATGATATTATTTTCATTTGTTTATTAAGTAAAGGATCTATTAAAAGGTATAAATGATTTGGAATTACTCTTGCTTTTGTTAAAGCTAAAAAAGATTTATTTTTTTTTTTAATTCCAATTAATTGATTAGTCATAATGTTGGATTTCTAAAAAAAAAAAAATTGTTTAAAAAAAAAAAATTACAAATTTACAGCTTTATCTCACTATAAATTGTATTAAGAAAAGAAAAAAAATAAATAAATACAAAAACTTCTTCTTTGACACCATTAACTCCTCAATATGATCCTCCCATCTCTTCCTCTGCTTGTTATTCTTATACTCTTCATTATCCAAATAACACTCAAGCTCGTTTAATCTCCTTTTTGCCTCTTCTAATTCTTTTTCGACCTTTTCAATTGTCACCATTTTTAAAATTGTAAAAAGGACAAAATTTTTGATAGTAGATCGGTGATTAAATGCTAAATTAAGCGAATTTTATTGGTTATAAACTTACAAATTATGATTCATAATTTGACAACCGCAGTAATCCGAATATCGGCATGATTCGGTTAAAATTCTCAATAATGACTAATCCAATTAAATGTTTTCATTGTTAAATGAAATTTTCATATGCTTTTATCAATTTCCCACGAACAGACTTAGGAAAATAAAACTATATAAAGAGGATTAAGGAAATCATTATAATTCCTACAAAAAAAAAAAAAAAAAAGGTAATTACAAAGATGTTTCGTTCGGGTCTTCGAATAACAACTTGCACCCAACGAGTTTTATATAATGCTGGCTATTATCAATCAAACTTACCACAATCATTCATTAAATCATTCGCGATTAACACGCGATATTTCACATCATCTCAACCGATGCGGTCATCCGCGATATACGGTTCAACACCCATAACCGGAAAAGATTCTAATGTCTTAAATCAAATTCCCGAAGAATTATTATTATATACTCATCATCCAAAACCTGTTCGTCATGAAATTCTTGAATCAAATGCTCCTTTAAAAACCAAAGATTTAGAGAATCTTGACGTTAAAGTTGGTTTACATCGTGAGCCAGTTACTTGGAGTGATAAACTGGCCTTTAAAATCGTTAAATTATTAAGAGTTCCTTCTGATTGGTTCTTTAAGAAGAAATATGTTCATCGTGCTGTTATGTTGGAAACTGTAAGTATGATTTACTAGTTATTAATTACGGTTAAGGAAGAAGTTCCAGTTGAATCGTGAATTTTTTTTAGGTTGCTGCGGTTCCTGGTATGGTTGGAGGTACAATTCGACATCTTCGTTCTCTAAGAAAATTGCAACATGATGGCGGTTGGATAGATCATTTGCTTCACGAAGCCGAAAACGAACGGTAAATTGTATCTTTTTATTACAAAAAACAAAATTATTCTCTTATTCGTATTTCCCCTTCTTTTGAATCATTAGCATGCATTTGATGACATGGATGCGTATCTCGAAACCTAAAATGTGGGAAAGAGGTTTAATCACCATCGTACAAGGTGTATTTTATAATGCGTTCTTTGCATTATATTTACTTAGTCCGAAAACTGCTCATCGTGTAGTCGGCTACCTTGAAGAAGAAGCCATCGTATCTTACACTTCCTTTTTAAAAGGTAAACGAGTACCTTTATTTTCTGAATTTCTTGAAAAAAGAGAAAAATAAGCTTATTCATCCCACCCTTCGTTGCTAGAAATTGAAAATGGACACATTGAAAATACCAAAAATATTCCAGACCTCGCCATAGATTATTGGCATTTAGATAAAGATACTGCGACACTAAAAGACCTGGTTCTAGCAGTTAGAGCAGACGAAGCCACACATCGTGATACTAATCATCATTTTGCTGATAGAATTATCCTTGGCAATGAAGACTTGAGAGATGATATCAAACGAATTTTCGACAAATCTGAGAGTAAAAAAGTTAAAAAGATAGCTGGTTTGAGTCAAGATGCCTCTGAAAAATGGAAATGGAATCATTAAAGGTTGATGATGCCTTTACATAAAGGGTTTATTAATTATTTTACTAAAATCTTGTACACTATATTACATTTGAATTCTGTTCATAGGTTTATCATTATTATGATTAGATTGTCATTTATTAAGAGATACAAAATTATTTTTTTTTGTTTTGTGAAATTATAATAAATATAATCTAAATTTACATTTCATGTTGAGTTAATAACAGATTTAACGGCTCTTTTTACACCTTCTTCTAAATCCACAAGAGGTTCATAACCCAACCTACTTTTAGCCTTATTGATGTTAAAATATCTATTCGTCGTAGTAAATTTCACACGAAATCTGGTAAATCCAGGTTCTTTACCGGTTACATTACTCGATAATTCAGTTAATGAAGCAATAATAACTGCAAAGAATTTCGGAAATTTTATATAATATGACGGAAAATGATTGAATTGCGCCCAAATAAATCTACCTAGATCCCAAAATGGAAGTGGCGTTCCATTTGTTATAAAGAAGGCCTACAAGAGGAGAATTATTTTTTTAGTAAATAAATGAAACATATTGTCCAAGGAAAGGTGTTATATACTTACTTCTCCTGCTGTTTGATTTTCTTTTGATAATTTATCAACAGCTAAAACATGTGCGTAAGCACAATTTTCTACATATGTCCAATCTACAAAATTTTCATTATCTCCTATCTGAAATTTTGATTGTCCTTGTTCCATCACTTTAATAAAACCTGGAATCGCTTGCATATCATTTGGTCTAAATAATGTTTTGAATTATTATTATTATTATTATTGCATAAATATTTAATGAATCTGTATTTTTACCCGAAAATACCACAAGGACGAAGGGCGCAAGTTAATAAACCATTTCTTCCATTTGCTTCTAATACAAGTTTTTCTCCTGCTGCCTGCAAAATAATTTTTTTTTTTTTTTAAAAAAAAAAAAAAAGTTTAAAAGTTCAAATGGGATAAGTTACCTTGGTTTCATTATAAACATTCATATGTTTTTGAGGGAAAGGAGCAGTTTCATCAACATTAATCAATTCGGAGATACCATCGTAGACAACACTAGAACTGCTAGTGTAAACTAATTTCTTAACACCAAAGTTCAAGCAGGCCTCAATAACATTTTTAGTTCCCTCAACATTAACTTTCCAAAATAATTCTTCATATTTACAATCATGAGATGGTGAAGCCGTGTGAATTACGGATGTAATATTCTCCTTTTCTATACATTTACTAATATCATCATAATTTGATAAATCTCCTTTATAATGTTTAATTTCTTCGTCAAAATATTTTTGAATTAAATCAAATACTATTATCGATCGTTCCCCTCTTTTCCTTAACATTTCTACTATCCATCTACCCACAAATCCATCTCCTCCGATTATCAAATAATTTTCTACCATATAGACGTATAAATGTTCGAAAAAGGTGAACTTTCAAAAAAAAAAATATATATTTTTTTTATTAAATGGAAATTCTTGTGGAACGGATTACAAACCCAGATCAATTGTACTAAAACTAACTTGGATTCGCATGTGATATCTTATTAACTAATAATGACGCTATCGTTACGTTTGAGAATAATTAATTATCTATATAAATACTGTAGGCCTTTTATTTTCAACCGAATAAATGTGATAAATTCTTTTTTTCTTTAAAATTCTTATTTCATCAATAACGCTTATTGCTTTTAAATTTTTTTCCCTTTACTTTAAAGATGTCAAATAAACCAGTTCCACCACTTCCCAAAAACGATGATTCTTTAAAAAAAAATTCTTCATTAAATGATAAAGATGAAAAAAAAGAATCGAATAATTCTCCACAAGAAGTAGCTACAAGCAATCACCCGCACCTTACGGCTGTTAAAGAGGTCGTTTCTAATGCCGTACATAACACAGCTCAAGCTTTAAAGATTGAACCAAAAGAAAGTCATCCTGAGGCTTATCATCAAGATGGTAAAACTAATCCTGAATGAAATATTCAAGTCGAAAGCGATTTGTCCGTCACGTAGCATACGTACCATGATCACATAAATCGTTTCTTTATAATCGATTTCATTATTATTTTTTTATAACGAACCATTGAATAGTTTGAATTTTCCTTTGCCATATTTGATATAACACAATTGTTGAATTTTAAATAACGTTAATTTTAAACGTCCGAAAAAACATTCCTTTAAAGACCGAAGGGAACTAATAAAAAAAAAATATTTAAAAAATTAAAATAGAAATGATTTCGATAATCCGTAATCCGCTCTAATTGGTTGACCCTCGTGTTACAGAATTTTTTTTGAAATTTTTCGAATTCTTGCTTTTGTTTATTTGATTTGATTTGATTTGATTTTTTTTTTTCGAAACACTCCACAATATATAATAATGAACAAAAGGTTATTTTCATTCTTGAAATCATTTATTCCATATAAAAATAATTTTTATAAACAAGATAATCATTTTCTTAATCGGTTAACACCTTTAAACCAGCAGACTTTAATCAAAAATGTTCATACAAAACAGGATTATTTGTCAAGATTTATTCAAATGATGAGGGTAGATACCAAAAAAGAAATGCAAGAAGGGAAGCAGGAGAAGAGTGAAAAAATTCGAGTGAATAAGGAAAGGCAAGAGGAGGATGGTATATTTAAAAAGTTGCAGAGGAAGACTAAGGTAGAATCACAAAAAAAATCGCAGAAGGGGGGGCAGACAAAGCATAACGACTTGGAAAGTTTTTTATCAACAAAAGATTTAAATACGAAAACAAACGTTTATAGAGGTACATTGTATGAATATGAAACGATATCATGCCTAAAAAATTATTTTGGAATCTTAACAAGAAGAGTAGGAGGCACAAATGATTCTGGGATCGATTTTAGGGGTAGATGGACTTTACCGAATAATCAAAAGTTAAATATAATAGGTCAATGTAAAAATAATTCAGTGAAATGCTCACCAATTTCAGTTAGGGAGTTGGAAGGTGTTTTATGCACCGAGACCAAAAATACTCTAGGTATATTATCCTCAAAATCTGGTTTTGGTAAGGCTGCTATCTCGAGATTTAATTCCTCTCCTTATCCATTGATCTTAGTTTGCGTGTTAAATGACGGTAAAAACTGTGAGATATTTACTTGGAATAAAACTTGCGAGAAAATTTTAGACAGTTTACAAGTTACTCGGAGGTTTTATAATGCGAAAGGTGATATTTCTGATGATATTATGAATCACAAGCCTATTTTATTATATGATGGAAAGCCTTTTATTCCTAATTTTCAAGAATAGTATTGGTGGATGATTAGATTGATTTCTTTTTTTACATTATTGTGGATTATTTGGTAGAATTCCTTGAACATATCATGCTTATATTAGGTTGTAATAAAGATATGCGTACTCATTTAATAGAAGGATGGATGTAAATATTATAGGTACAATTTTATTAAATGAGAGGATTATTAATTTGGAATGCACTTTAAACATGTTTAAATGAATATTTGAATCCTTTCTTTCTACACGGTTTTATATATTGATCCAAATTGACATTTCTTTTTAGCAAGGTTTACAAATCAATATTTGTCGAATGCACCACCAAATATCTTATATCTCTTAAGAAATCTTAGTAATATTTTCTGTCACGGATGGTATTATTTATTTCCTTTTCAAAATTTTACAAATTTAGTGTTGGCACCTTTATGGAATCAAAGATTAAAGTTTGTATTTCTGAGCGACAAGATAAGTACAAGTTTCAGGTGCTTTACACGAATACTAAAAAAAGATATATTATGACAGGAAAGAGGAAAGTTTTATGTGAAATAGAAACTTAATTCCAGATTGAACGAGGGAATGTGATGATCATCCGAATTTAGTGAACTATTTGTTTGTACTTCCAAAAGAAGATCTTTACGAACAAATTTCAAATTTAAATAGATAGATATTTCTGCCCAATTAAAGGCTATACTAAATTTTTATTTATTCATTCGGAAATACGAAATAAAAGTAGGTATTTTCTAAATTGATTTCGTCCCATTTTTTAGGTTATATATTTCATGTTTCATCAAAAGTATAACAATATCAAAAAAAAAAAAATTGATGATGTATTCTTTTTGATGCTTCTTAATTTCTAATTGTCATACCAATAAATAAATACAAAAGTAGATTTTACACCGCCCCTGTAAATTTTTTTTTTTTTTTCTTTGTGTTCCTCTATAGGGGGGTTTTTGCCGATCTTGTTAGAAATTTACGATGACAGTGAAAACGAATTAATTCTTTTTTTTTTTTTTTTTTTTTTTTTTTTGTATGTCATCATTTGAAGTTTTTTTCACTTTTTTAAAAATTGTCAACCAATTTTACTTTTTTGATTATCACCCGAACCATTTAAAGATTTTTTTTTTTCGCTTAGCGTTTATTCAAGTTAAACCCAGAAAATTAGCCGTGATTTGTTACTTGCATCGTGATAACTTTGTAGATATCACAAATTTATAAACTTGGTAATCATCTATGCATATTTAGTTTGGACCACAACTGAACTAAAACGTTGTGGCAAATTAAAAAAAAAAAATTTATCCCTTATTATTCTTATTCTTATTATTCTTACTCTTAATATTAATAATAATTTTCCTCGCCTAACTGCTGCTGACATTTCCTCGACTTTGTTAGTATCTTTTGTCTTTACGTGTTGCCTATCACTTTTGTAATGGCAACTTTGCGGCAGAAATGGGCTATTCACAAAAATTATCGCAAAATTCAAACTTGTTGGCAGGAGTATCGTTCCGTCTCGGATAAAGAGTAAGTTTATTATTCTTGATCTTTGATCATATCAGAGAATGAATTTTAAGTACGGTTGAAATAATGAATTTATTGAATCAATCGCTCGATATTCCGCTACCAATGCACCGAAATATTGCTTACTATAATCAAATTTATTGAATTAGATTAATAATTGAGCGGTTTTTAAGATATTTTAGTAATAAAGGTGCAACTTTGGGGTATATGCGCATTGAAATCATTACTTTTGAAACAAAAATAATCAATTCTTAATTTAATATAGTGATGTTCAATTAATGATTCAAAAACTTGAAAATTTTCTCGACATTTTTCAAGAAGCGTACAAAGAATGGAGTGCATCTGGAATTATTATACCAACCGATTTCTCATTGGACAAATTATACGGTGACTGCTCAGAAGTATTAGTGAATTTACTAAATACTATTGATCGGTAATATATAATATATATATGTATATACATTTTTTCTTTTGTTTAATTTAAAAAAAAAAAAACTTAAATTTAATACGTCCGACTTAAATTTTTTTTTTTTTTTTTTTCTTTTTATAAAGGGAAGTTAATAAAGAGAAGCCAGATCCTGGTGTGGAAAGAGTGGCCGATTTAGTTAATAAGGCGTTAAATGTAGCAGAATTAATATTAAAGGTATGGTGAATTTTTTTTTTTTATGAAATTTAAAAATATTTACTTCTTTAATTATGTTTAAATTGATTTATAAAAAAAAAAACTTATAGGACGAAAAATATCGGCAATTAGTTGCCAATACACCTAATTTAATTTGTCGAATCTTATTATTATTGGAAAAGTTAAATACAACGGAGGCTAAAAAATTAACTTTGAGAGTTATTAGCACGTTGGGTGAAAATGATTTGAATAAAATTGAGATAGGCAGACATCAAGGTTTCAAAAAAATCTTACGTTTATTAATTGATGACCCTGATTTGACATCGGAAATTGTTAGAACTATAAAACATTTTCTTGAGGTTCGAGATGAAGACATTCAGGTACCTTAAAAAATTTTTTTTTTCAAAATAATTAAAAACATAATATATCATAAATATTTTTATATTTAAGAACATCTCTAATATTATTTCGTAAACTGGAATGGGACAATTTAGAAAAATGGTCTAAGGATTTCGGATATAAACAAAAAGATATCAAAAAGGCAAAATTATATCAATAGCAATAGGAATGTTGATATAGGCGAGAAATTAAAAGGAGAAAATCTATTCTCTCAATATGATTCTTTTGATAGTGATTTCAATGAAGAAGAAAGGGATAATGTGAATACTTTCTTTGGTAGTTTTGTTGGAGGAAAAGTTTCAAGCATGGTTGCTGAAATACGTGAATTAGTATTTACTGAGCTTGGTAGAGTTTTTCCAAATTTGCATGCACTTGCGAGTGAAATTTTGGTCAATCATAGCGATAGTCTTAATGACAAAAGGAAGTTAGGTTCTGACAGAAGGTATGATTATGTATATGTGTATATATATATACATTTCTTTTTCTTTTATTATAAAAAAAAACTCATTCATTTATTTTTTTAAAAAAAAATTTAGAATTTGTCCCTTCATACCCACATCAGATAAAATCAAATCTACAATACCGCGTTTTAATCTAATAAAAGATTCGTATAATCATAATGATGACAAGTTAGAAAATATAATATCTAATAAAAGTGATTTAAATGGTAACGTTAATATTATGACATATCTGGAAGACGAGAGTAGTTCTTCAGATTCAAGTAGTAGCGACAAGAGATGCTCGGACGACTTGGATAAATACTCTGAAACAAGCGCCTCATCTGTTGCAACAAATGAAAGCGCGGAGGTGAATTCGCCAATTTCATTTAAAGGATTTAATGTTAATAACAATAATAATAATTCAGATATGCTAAAGGTATCTTACTTATTTATTTTATTTTTTTTTTTTTTTGAAAATTTTTTTTTTTTGCTTTTTTCTTTAGAAATCATGAACGCTAATTCATTTAACTTTAGGAATATATGCGTGTACAAGGTGCCCTTCGATCTTTGACGAACATATTATCAGAAGGTTTATCTCAATCAAATATGACATCAGTCTCAAAGTTGGATATCATAGAGACAATTTGCAAGTTGTTGTTTCGGAATACGGCAAACCAGGCCGAATTTCGTAAGATGGATGGTTATACGACGATTTTTAACGTACTTGATCAATTTCCTGAAAATGGAGCGAGAGAACGCGAAAGTTTTCTCAAGGATTGCTTTAATGTTTTTTTTATAATAAGTCTTGATGGTAGTGAGGATATGGTAAGAAAAAAAAATGAGAGAATATTTATACATTTTATGTTAAGTCAAATCATTAGATTACTCACTTTTACCTTTCTCATATATAAGGTTGTTGGCAATGTTGACGCATTTAATCTCATATTCCGCACGATTGTCTCATCATCTCAACTAGATGTGCGGCAATATGCTCTCAATTGTATTCAGGATTTAATTACGATAAATTGTCTTAATGTAGTTGCCGCGTGGAAAGTTGGTGGAGTTGATACTTTAATAATGATGTTAAATTCAGCCATTCGCGTGAATGAAAGTATAAATGATTTATTCCGAGTGTTGAAACTGAAAGAATTATCTCAAGCAAGCTTGGAAACTTTTGCCGATATAAGATATGATATAACGGCTGTTGATCCAAATTCGCCGTCCTTATTTTCTGCCAAATCACCAGTTGCACAAGCTGTCGATCTAAATCCAATATTTCGTTATTTAGTGGCTGTAACAAGGTCATTGGAATATATGGCAGTCATTCTAAGCGAAAATAATTCTTATATACTGAAAGTGAGTTGAAAAGTATAAAGAAATTCAAAAACTTTTACAATCAAGATAATTGCATACTCACTTAATTATTATGTCACCAAAATAGGAATACACGCGTATCTTGATGGAAATTTGCTTACCGTCAAAATCCATTGTTGTTAATATTATTTTGCGCAGCGTATCGCGTTTGTTGACTGACCTCCTTAGTCGAAATAAGGACGTTGAAAAAAACCTTTTGAGCATATACTTACAGTTTATAAGAGATATATTTCAAATGTCCAAGTTTGATGGCTTGGCTTCAGATCTAAGTAACCGTGTAGAGTCTGAAATTAAAATGGACCCAACCTTGAATGAGCTTGATCGGGTTGTGATCGCTGAACAGAATCTACTTCTATTACATATCGTTGGGTTATTGGTTGATGCTACAGGAAGAAATATGGAACTTTTTGAAGCTTTACAAGGGTTTGAAACGCTCCATGATGCTATAGTTCTTTCTAGTTCATGTGTTGAGTGTGTAAATAATGATATTAATCTGCAAGTTGGCTTAGACATTCAAGACTTGTCTATAATGAAAGATTATCCTGGATTAGATGAGGATATCATGGTTGCAGATATGGCCCTTTGGTTGTTAAGAGAATATATCGTTTGCGGTTTGGATTGTATTGAGAGTGTCAAGGCAAGTTTTAAAATTTCTTTTTTTTTGTCCTTTACACTTTATATTAGAAAATATCAAACTGATAAAATAAAATTATTTTAAAATAGTGGATGATAAAGTTAACAAAATATATTCTTGCAAACATCAGTAAATCTGCAACAAAGTCATCTAATGCGTCCGAGGTTGACACTATTGCAAGTAGCAAACCTCCAGTTACTATTATTTCTTCACTGCTAAATCCAAAATATCAGTGTAATTCTCTTCAACGTCCAAAAAGAGCGATCTTTCCCTGGCTTCAGACCAAAGTATGCAACGTTGTATCCTCTGTGCTTCGTAAGAGTGATAAAGCAAAACAACTATTTGGGGAATTTGGTGGCCTAGAAGTTATGTTAGGGATAATAAGCCACACACAAGATATGGATGTGGCATCTGCTGCTCTTGTAACCGTCGGTGATTTTTTCGCTGGATATGAAGGTGTACAGCAATTACTGGGAAATTTATTTGGATATGATGGTTTCCTGGAATTGATCCTTTCCTCAGTAACACCTATTGATAAGTAAGTTCGATAAGCACAAACTACGCAATTTGAAGAGGTGAATGTACTAATTATTAATTTCATTTCACTTTCATAAGAACATGTTGTGAAATTGTTCTTGAAGTTGCAACGATTGGAAGTATCAGTCGATCTTTATCTCAATGTCCCGCAGAAGCTGATCCATTTTTGATCAGTAGTGATATTATGCCTTTTATTTCTGGGTTATTAGATCCGACTCCTTTATTTACAGAGTTACTTAAATTTACACAAAAGCGACATGTGGGATTTAATAAACAAAGGTAAAAATATTATTCATATATATTAATTACCGGATATTATTTGCTCATCTTCTTTATATATAGTAATAAGCAAGAAGAGCACAAACGTAATAACAATCGCGCAACGGTAGGCAGCCCAACTTTGATGAGCTTTTGCGAGGGGACGAAAAATGGCTCTTCTTCATCTCTTAATAAAGTTCCGTTTGAGTCTACGAACGAGAACAATTTAGCTAGTTTTTCTAATGGTACAGCTAAAATGTCTAGGTCAAGTAGTAAAAGTAGCACGCAACTTCCAAGTCCTACATTAGCACCTACTACTCGAGTTGAACGACTTAAGACCGAAGAAATTATTGAACAATCGAGTAAACAAACAACTCGCAAAAGAAGTAATTCTCGCAACTTGGGTGGATTCGGTTTAAATTCAAACGCTGTCAGATCAGATTCTTCGACAATTAATGATAAACTTCGAAATTGGGTAGGAATTATTTTCCGCGATTCAGATGCTGCAATGATGGCTTTAAAACTTCTCTCTCATATTGCAGATGGTAATGACGAGAAATTGCAGCACTATTACTTTAATTTATTAATGATGTTGATGGAGGTTGATCCGCGTAATAAAGAACTATTGTGCGCCAATAGAGCTTTGAAGTTTGTAATGGAAGTTTTATTTGTGAAAGGCAAATGCTCAAACGATTTCGAGCCTCTTAGGCAGCACCCTCCGTCATATGTAGATTTGATACCTGCATTAGGGGCGTATGATATGACGAACTCGGATGTGATGTTGTTATTTGAAGCCGCATATGATCCCCTTAGTATGTTCGGACATTTTTTAGATGGAGGAAGTTCACATAGAAGGTCAAATTCTAGTTCAGGCGATTCTTTCTCACAGTCTCTACCTTCACCTAAAAATTCAACAATTAAAATTGATCCTTTCTTCATTCGTGAGATACAAATGCAAATGATTTATTCAATTGAGCGAATATCGGAAAGGATGGATCCATCTTGTTATTTTAATTTCAATGGAATCGATAGTGTGTTACAAACCGCGCCTTTGGATAAATTTCCTAGTATAAAGCATGGTTATACACTTAGTATGTGGATTAAAGTTATTGCATTCTTTGGAGACGAAACTGGATTATTGTGTTATGAAGATAAATCAGGGACATGCACAACTTTCGAACTTTATTTTAAACGTATGGATAGATCGGATCGATATTGTCTCTGTGTTCGAACCCAACACCACACTTTGCCACCGGAGGATTTTGTTTTTTACGGTTTCGATTTTCAAGAGATTGGAATTTGGCATCATATCGTGTTCGTTCATTCCAAAGATAGTACATCGTTAATTGTTGATGGATCTATGATACAATCACATAATATGTTTAATTATCCAAAGATGACGGGCAAAGAAAAGATTGTTGCTGTTATTGGACGTCGTGGAAAGGAAATCAGTCCTTGTTTACAAAAATCGCCTAATAAAGAATCAATTAACAGTCATTTCTACGGACAAATCGGTTCTATTTATTTGTTCAGAGGACTTTGGGATGAAGAAATATCAGAGATTGTTTTCAACCGAGGTCCGGCCTATTCTAAGAATTATCGTTTACTCGGTGTAGAAAATAAGGAAGTAATGGCCATTCACCCACAATCATATTTGAACATTGAGCAAAAATCCATAATTGAAAGTGAAAAGTCTCGAAAAAATTCGGATTCGATGAGTTTTACAAAGACGGCTGGGAGAATGGAAGGGGGCTGTTCTGTGCACGCTACTCGTTCCATGAGAGACATCATTGAACAAACTGGAAGAATAGATCATTGCTTCCAAATCTTATATATGGATCCACAACAGCAGCTGGTCGGACTTCGAACAATATCTAATTTGCTTTACAAGAGTCCACAAAATGTTGTTAAATTCACGGAAAGGCATGGATTTGATACGATCCGTCGATCCTTGAGCAAGGATCATAACGTCTTAAGTCCTGAACATTTCTATGTTTTGTTGGATATAGTTAGTGATGGCGTGATGAAAAATAACCAAATGCTCATTATAAATATCGATCCTCTGAGGGTGGTTATCGATCTTTTGGCTGGTTGTAAAGAATCCGTACAATTACCTGTAGTACGTACTTTGATGGATATGTTGATTGATGTGCCCGAGAATCTCAAAACATGGCGTACCTACCTCGGCGTGGACGTTTTATTTGATCTTATCGATAATCTTCCCGCATCGCTTCAACATTTCACAATGCGAACACTTGAAGTAATGATTTTAGATTTAACCGTTGAGGAACTAACAAAGTTATTTAAATATTTGGAAAAGGATAAGTGGGTGAACATTGAGGTTAAGTGTGATATAGTTAGCATGCTCTATAAGATTATGACATTTGACACTCAACTTGTCGAAAAATTACGTGGATTAAAAGCTTTATCACTTTTAATGCCATTCCTTGAAGCCCCTAATGAAAAGTTCCGTATTACAATCCTTAAAATGATGGGAATTTTAATGAGTTCAAATGTTAAGCATAGTAGAGGAGTACTTGTTAAAATTAATGGATTTGACACGATACGATTATATTTAGTGAAGCATCAACTTTCGCTAGAATTTACACAAGTATTAATAGGAATTGGAATAAATTTTTATCAAAGTGATCCAGAATTTAAAAATTGTTCTTTAACGATGTTGGATAGACCTATATTTAAAAGATCTTCACCTCGAAGTTCGGAAGATAGTATCTCTCGAACGATGAATAAGAGCACCGAAGAATTAATATACCCTGAAACGATCTATTTGATATTTGATTTGCTCAAAGTATCGGAGAATTCCGAACTTGTATTTCAAGTGTTGACTGATATAAAAAGGATATTGACTCCCGTCAATATGAGATGTTTATGGGAACAAAATTGGTTAGAATGGGTTATAGTTTTCCTACAGGGAAGATCCAAGATTGCAGGAAGCACTATTTATAATCAACATATTCTCACAATGATTGATACGATCGTGCAAAAAATGATGGTGTTTGATATTTCTCGAAAAAATTCGACCACGTCAAAGGCAAAAGGCGCAATTATCATACCACAAAATCTTTCGGACAAAAATTATTCGGAGAAATTTATGCTTCGACTCATAGATATTCTTCTTTCATACTTTGACAAGAATCCTAACGTTAATACAGAAATTTCAATCTATATTTTCAGAAATCTTGGAATTTTATATCGATATCTTGATGATCGTGTTAGTAAGAACATTTCAAACTCAAATTCATCATCAGCATCATCATCACAAACTTCCAAATCAAATCTCATCATAAACACCAGTCAACCCATTTCGATGCCACCTTCCCCGCCTTATTCACCTATAACTAATTCTAATAATAATCATACATTACAACAAATTTTCATTACAGTTACATCAGTTCGACGTCATTTTGCAAGTACGATAAACATATTAGCATGTCATAATAATTCTACGATACGAACTAGTATGAAATCTTCGGGTTTATTTAAAATTCGCGATAATTTGATAAAAGATTATAATGATTTGGCTCCAATAGGTGGAAATGAATTTGTATAATAGTAATAGTATATTTTTTATTTATAGAATTAGTATTAGATTATTATTAGCATTATTTATTTATTTATTTATTTATTTTTTTATTTTTATTTTTATTTTTGGACTGGCTGTGGTTTTTTATGGTTTATTTGTTTATTCAAGAAAAAAATTTTTTTTTTTCACTTGTACTTTTATTTTTCTACTTGTAAACTATAAATTTTTTTTTTTAAAAAAAAAACTAATTCAAAATAAAGATTATCTTAATTTGTATTATCATTTAGCAATTTTTGTTTTAAAAAATATTATTAATTGGAAAAATTGCCGAGACCAATCACAATTATGGCAATAGGGATTAAATGTAAAGGTATAAAAGGTATACAAAAATATACAAAATATAAACACGAATTATTAATTACCTTTAATTGGTATTCTTGTTTCTGAAACTTCTAAATGAACAATGTATATACTACAAAAGCTAAGGACTAAGTGGTTGGTGGTTTCTATTTTGTGTTTCGTTTTTTGTTTAAGTATTTGTTTGTAAACTATAATCATTATGAGAACTACAGCCGGCATTAATTTAATGGTTTAAAATGCAGTCATGAACGTTTTTTTAAGAATTAGGAGAATTGTATTTTCAAATTCGGAATAAATTACTCGAAAGTGCAATCAATAACAATAAATGACAATAGGGGTAGTAATTTGTCTTGCAATCCATCTTATAATTTCGGTAATAAGGGAAAGGAGAATTATATTAGGAGTGATCTTGCCACAACTTCTTTTTAAGGGTTATAAAATAATAATGGTCTACGGCCATGTTTACATATCAGTAAAAAAGGGGGAGTCAAGTAGACCAATTAAAAAAATTAAAAAAAAATTTATCAAAATTTAGATTTCCCCCTTTTCTATTGACTGCCGCCCATATACATCTTTTAAATTTATTTGTTAAAATTTCGAATTTGCAAGTATCTAAATTATACGTATTTTATTTTTATTATAATGTTGAATACAAAAGTTATATATACATGTATCAATATTTATGCGATTTGCAAGTATCTAAATTATACGTAATTATTTTTATATAATGTTGAATAGAAAAGTTATATATACATGTATCAATATTTATGCGCGAGTTTTTGTTTAAAACTAAAGCTACACATAATAACCCATTGAAATTCCACTAAACTTATTTTCATGACAAGCAGGAGATCTGTGCGCATTTAAAAGCGATACAGACATTGAAGGAAATTTTGGTTGGTTCGTTACGGAATCAGAACGTTTTTTAGTAGGTGAATTGAAATTGGATACAGGTGACGTAGGTCTGCTGCTGATTTTAAGTGTTGATGGTTTGGGATATGATGGTGGGGTTCTTGTTGGTTGTACTTTGAGTTTATGCTGTAAAGATATTTCACTACCTTGCTCAGAATCAGAGGTCGATGGACGGCGCGGTGATAAATTTGTGGTATTATTATTGGTAACCAATGGTGGTGATGGAGCCGGGCGTGATGGGACCATCCGACTCGCTGCCTCGGATAATGTAATCGTTGAAACACTATTTGATGAGACAACAGGGGCTACGAAAATCAAAAAATGAAACGATTATTTTTCTGCGTTTGATTTTAATGGTTCGAAATTTACTTCATTTCTCATACCTGCTATATTTCTTTCAATAGTAGATTTAATTATAGCTTTCATCCAAGCTTTCGTTGTTGCTAAATTTTCATGAGCAAAGAAATGAGGACGTTCTGTATCATGAACCAACTTGAATCCATATTTTCCTTGGTATATATTTTCATCGGGGATAACTCTATATCCTGTAAGGTTAATATGACCCTTCGTTTTCATCGTCTAATATATACCGTTTTTATTAAGTTTTGTTGCCATGTGACATATGTAAAATATATTATATATATATATATTGAAGAAGATTTACCTTATCGTCCTGTAAGTAATATAAATTCGAACCTTTTAATATACAATAACGTTTTCTCCAGGTTTTATATTTATCTCCTTGCTTCATTAGCGAACCTTGATGATCCGGTTCACCAATTCTTAATATATCATCATCGATATAATTAACGCTACTATGATCGGGTTCGGAATAATAACTAGCTCCTCGATTTTTTGAATCAATATCTTCATGACTTTCATCATCACTAAAGAAATAAGTACGAAAAAAATCAATAAAATTACAATCGGTTCCCAGTTAAAAGAAATTCTAGAACTTACACTAATAATTCCTTGAAAAATCCTAATTGATTTTCGACCAAACTATTTCGATCCTAAAAGGAATAACATTAGAGCAATTATATTTAAAGACCATCAAAAAAATAAAATAAAATAAAATAATATATATATATATATATATATATATATATAATTTAAAATTTATATGTACCAAAATACTTTTCTTATTTTTTCTCAGAATAAATCTCAACGATCGTTTTTCTACTTCGGACGTAGGACGAACGTCATCCTTATTATTAAATATCTTTTCTATCTTGGGCTTTACTTCCTGTCGAATAAATCACGCATTAATATCTCATCTCAAAGTAAAAGCAAAAAAATTTTTTGCAGCCATTGTTTTTTACCAAATTGCTTACCTGTTTGTCGAATTTTTTTACTTTTTCTTTTTTATTTGTAGCTTTCGAAAAGGAACCAAACTTTAAAAAGGATCGACTTGGTTTCTTAACAATCTTTTATATGCACATATAAAAAATAACGTTATACTTAAAGAAAGACTTCAATAACTTATTTAATTTGATTCTTTACTTACCATTGACGGTTCGGAATCTTTTGATGATGGAGGAATTGTTTGAAGATCGCTGTGCAGCTTGCTTGAGAAGTCGGAAAATGTTTCATCAACGTTTGAAAGGGAATGGTTTGGTACATTAATATCAGAACCTCCAAATGATGAGCCCGAAAGTGTTTTGCTTTGAGTCTAAAAAGCAAATTAACACTCTTTTTTAATTAAATTTCTTTTATAAGGGAAATAATTTTTAGCAAAAATTTTCTTTATAATTTACCTGATCATCATGAACGTTACCATTCGTTGAATACTGATTTTTTAATAAGGCGATTTCATTCTTTAAACGAATGCGTTTACCAAAAGACGAAATATTGATTTCCTTGAGGGTGACTAAATTTAATTCTAAAAGTATATCCCCGGTGATGTCATTTTCAATAAAATGTTTCCTTTCATAATGATAACCTTTTTCGTCTAACCATTGACATACTTGTTGTACATCCCAGGTCGATGGATGATCTTTAAACTTCAAATCTTCGTTTATATAATTGTTGTCAGAAGAAGAGGTAGAAAATGACAAATTTTTGAAATTATCAAAAGTGTTCAACAGTTGCGAATTCGTTGGCGAAGTTTTTTCCGAACTTATCGGTGCGGAAACATAACTACTGGAAGTTGATAGTGATGAACTTTTTTTCAACATCATTCTTTGTAATTTATCTTGTATTTCATCAATTGTTTCATCGATCGAAAAAGGTGGTGGTGATACGGGTTTTGACAGATTATTATTACGAAGGTTCTTATGTTCTAAAGGGTCTCTTGGATTATCATTACTTGTATAATTCATAGGGAAAAGACCAACTCTTCCACGTATATTTCGGCCCTATTAATGAAACACAAGTAGGATACGAGAAATTTTTTTGTTTTAAAAAAAAAAAAAGTATTAAAAAATAACTTTACGGTTGAAAAACCTTTTTCACTTTTAACAATGATTTTTTACCTTCCACCAGCCATCTCCATACATCTCATCTTTTTCAAGTACTATGATAGGTTCTCCATATTTAAAATCAAGTTCCTCATCACAATCCGCCAGAAAAGAATAAATGGCATAAACTTTTTCCAATGTCATTTTCAACGGCCTTTAAAGTATGCGCGGCAAAATAAAGTATGGAATTATGAATTCAATTTATAACTTATTGCTCTGAAAAAAAAAAAAAAAAAAAAAGATAGGATTACGAAAAATAAATTTCGTTTTTGTTTAAAATGAGAGAGTCGCAATTTTAAAATAAGGGAAAAGGGTGTATTTAACGTAAACCAAAGAAATTGACAGGTAAACAAAACTGCAATAGTAAAAATGAGCAATTATTATCTATTACGGTTGTTATGAGGGTTGCTATGTATTGAATTTCCTAATTGAGAAAATAAGTAGAGAAAATTTTCTGCGACATGTGCATAAACGTAATTGTAAGGATCAATTTATCGCTCAAGTAAATGATTAATGACAATTTTTATCATACGACTTTTGAATATTTTATTTTATAAGGTGATTTAAAATCAGTTTTTTTCTCTTTTTTTTATAAAAAAAAACTCAAGAAATAAAGCTATATTTGATTAACCTTTATCAATTTTTTAATTGTCGCACAATTATTCTACTCAACCGAAAGAATAAAAGTATCTTCCGAACAAGTGATCTAAATGATCATCATATTACAACGTTCATCTTCACACGTGTTTCACAAATAAATATTTTCAAATGTAATAATAAAAAAGGATTTCTATTGAGCCGCAGTAGCATAGCATTCGCCATTTGATATCAGAATTCTTTATTCGTCATTTTTAAGATCATTTTATCCCTATGTCATTTCCGAATCTCCTAAGTTCTAGTTATTCTTCCTTTGGGATAAAATATTTAAATTCTTGGGGGTTTACTCTTTTTTTATTATTTATATATAAAAAAAAAAATCCTTTTTCGAATTTAGTAAATATTTTTTACACAAAGATGATGGAAAAACATTTTACATGAATCGCATACTCTTTTACCATGTATGGAGTAATATTTTTTTCTTTTTTTCACAATCACAAAGAAAAAAAAAGTGTGACCAACAAACCTTCGGGAGAAATAAATAAGGTAAATACCAAGTAAATCGATCTAATAGAGATTGTATAATACTCCACACTTTTCAGAGATCTTCGGTTAAAATTTTCTTATCAACCCAAATTGGTTAGTCGTCTGAACAATATTTTAGTTTACTTTTTTATTAGTGTGCAAATAACACATGCATTGTTATTTTATTTTGGGAAAGTAAAAAAGAAAAAACGTGATCATGAATTTAATTAATACAAATTAAAAAAAACGAGATTTGCTTGAAATTTTGCATATAATTGCTTTTTCCCCTCATTTCTAGCAGAATTTCCAATTCTGGGGAACTTAAGATTAACCAATCAGGTTGTAAAGATCGGACAGAGTTTTCTTACATAAGATATATAAAATAACTTTTTTTATTATAGTATGCTTTGCAAATTAAATAATTTAATAAAATTTTAAAAAAAAGATTTTAAAAAAGATATTTTTTTATAGTATATCATTACTTCTAGGAAAATCAGGTTCCGAAAGATTTTTAAGAGCTTAA